GCTGCTGCAGCAGACAGGAAAACAGCAGCTGAGGATCCCGGCGATGAGCTCGGTTGCAGACTAAGACTTTCGGATACTGGGGTTCATCTGCATTCTCTCCTATTTCACCATTCCGATTCCCAAGGCCCTTTTTTCACATAAGAGACCTGGTGAAGCTGTGAATTAAACTAACACTGTAATTTGGCAACTCATGGGATCAGACTTCTCCTTTTGTCTTTTGGTCTTCTCTGCTCTCCGGCTGCAAACAGTAAGATCCCTTTACTGTAGTCTCAGAAAGTCTCTGGTTTTCAGTCTGCCTTTTTTTTTTTTTTTTTTAAGATTTTATTTATTGATTTGACAGATCACAAGTCGGCAGAGAAACAGGCAGAGAGAGGAGGAAGCAGGCTCCCTGCTGAGCAGAGAGCCCAATGCGGGGCTCGATCCCAGGACCCGAGATCATGATCTGAGCCGAAGGCAGAGGCTCAACCCACTTAGCCACCCAGGCGCCCCTTGTCTGTGCTTTGATAGGAGGATTTAGGAAGGAGAATTTGTTCTTTTTCTAAAGTGAGGTCTATGCCCACTGTAAGGCTTGAACATTATTCTCTTTCTTTAAGCCAGTTTTCACTGGTAGTGATTTTTATCTCTTCTAGGGGACATTTGGCAATATATAAAGATATTTTTGTTTTTCACAACTGGGGAGAGATGTGGGTATATGTTACTCACATCTAGTCGATAGAGACCAGGGATATTGTTAAATATCCTGCAATGCATACAACCTCCTATAACAAATAAATATCCTAGCCCAAAAAATGTCAGTAATTTTGGGATTTAAGGAACCCTGTTTTAAGCTGTTCACCACAGTGAGAAGTAACCACCCTATTCCACATTCCCTAATTACTCAAATGTGCTGGTATTGCCCTCAGCAATCTCTTGTCAAAAAAGTATCCTCAGTGATAGGGAGCACTGCTATTTTATGACTGCTAAGAAGGAAAAACCACTGACAAACCATAATGGTACATTGATTGTTTTAAATGATTTTTTTAAGATTATTTGTTTATTTAGAGATAGAATGAGTTAGGGGAGGGAGGTGAGGAAGGAATCTGAAGCAGACTCCCCGCTGAGCAGGGAGCCTAATGTGGGGCTGTACCCCAGGAGCCTGAGCTCATGACCCTAGCTGAAACCAGGAGTCTGACGCTTAACCAACTGAGCCACCCAGGCTCCCCTGGTGCATTTTTTTTTTTTTTAAGTTTTTAGTTATTTATTTGACAGATTTCGCGCAGGCAGAGAGGCAGGCAGAGAGAGAGGGGGAAGCAGGCTCCCTGTTGTGCAGAGAGCCCGATGTCGGGCTCGATCCCAGGACCCTGAAACCATGACCTGAGCTGAAGGCAGAGGCTTAACCCGCTGAGCCACCCAGGCGCCCCCGTACATTGATTTTTAACACATGTCCTTTTATGTGTGTCCTTCCTACTCTTCTCTGTCAGCGAATACCGAAGCCACTTCATGGACATTTCATTCCAGATGACAGGTGATAATGTGACTGCTTCTCCACAAGATGCCATAGGATACTAGAGTCGTGTCCCCTCATACTTGCAGAATTCTGCCTTTAACCCCAGTAAGCCCTAAAATGAATCCTTGAAGTCCTATTGCTTACAACCACTCCTGACATAAATTTCTGCTTTTCAGTAGCAAAATTGTGTTTGTGTGTGTGTGTGTGCACATGCATGTGTGAAATATACTGGGTTACTGTGTTGCTTATGGAGGAACAGGGATTGCTGGAGACCACATTTAGAGCGACTTTAATATCACCCAAGTTAGGCTATAGCAGTGGTCCAAAGAGGGCGTACGGCTCAGCGGCGCCAAGCACCTGGTGCTGGAGTTTTGGCTGTGGATACTCTAGATCACCTCCACTGCTGCTCGCCCTTGAGCATGAGGTCATGGTTACTGCCATCAGAGTTCCTCATAATCTACTGCCTCTTCACTCAGTGGCTGGGATCAAAGTGTCTAGTTCATGACAGCTTAGCACGTGCTTGTGCTCTAGTCACAAGGGAGGCTAGAAAAGGAAATATCTGTCATCCTCAGTACCTATAATAAGCAAGGAGGAGACAAATCCTGCTGTCATCAACGTTTTATTGTGTGGGGGGTTCCCCAAATAGAGAAAAATGGCATAGGTTCTGATTGGCTACAAAAAATAAAGGTCCATGGGATGCCTGGGTGGCTCAGTTGGTTAGGCGTCTGCCTTCTGGCGGAGTCATGATCCTGGGGTCCTGGGAACAAATCCTGCATCTGGCTTCTTGCTCAGTGGGGGGCCTTCTTTCCCTCTGCCCCTCCCCCGGTTTGTGCTCTCTCTCTCCCTTTCTGTCTGACAAATAAATAAAATCTTAAAAAAAAAAAAAAAAAAGAATGGTAAATGTCAACTACATTCTTCCCACCACTCTCTCCCTTCTGCTCTGAACAGAAAACCAGAAAGAATCCTGATTCCCCTTGTGTCCTCCCTTAGTAATACATTAGTAGTTGATTCTGTCTCCAAAATATAGTCTTAAAAAGTAAGCTCTCCCCCCAGTGTGGGGCTTGAACATATGGCCCTGAGATCAAGAGTGACAGGCTCTACAAACTGAGCCCTCCAGGTGCCCCCCAAATATGATCTTTTTTTAAAAGACTTTATTTATTTATTTATAAGACTTTATTTATTTCTTTTTAAGACTTTATTTATTTATTTGACAGATGGAGATCACAAGTAGGCAGAGAAGCAGGCAGAGAGAGGAGGAAGCAGGCTCCCCTCTGAGCAGAGAGCCCACTTGGGGCTCGATCCCAGGACCCCGGGATCATGACCTGAGCTGAAGGCCGAGGCTTTAACCCACTGAGCCACCCAGGCGCCCCCTGCAAATATAATCTTTTTTTTTTTTTTTTTAAGATTTTATTTATTTGACAGACAGAGATCACAAGTAGGCAAAGAGACAGGCAGAGAGAGAGAGGAGGAGGAAGCAGGCTCCCTGCTGAGCAGAGAGCCCGATGTGGGGCTCGATCCCAGGACCCTGGGATCATGTCCTGAGCCGAAGACAGAGGCTTTAACCCACTGAGCCACCCAGGTGCCCCTTGCAAATATAATCTTGACCCATTCTCCTTTTGTCTCAGTTGTCAATAAGTTTGTACAACTGTCATCCATTCCATCTGGATTACTGTCTTAGCCTCTTTCTTCCCATTTCCACATGCTCTCCCTCCCAGTCCACAGCCCCCAAAGCAGCAAGTGTGTTTCTTTGCAGATCACCCTATAAGACTTCTTTGCTTAAAACCTTCAGTGGCTTCTTTTTGCGCTTAGAATAAAGTCCAGAATCTTTATTTTGGTCTCTAAGGAGGGTGATCTTATGTCTCATTTTACTTGGGAAATGATTATTTATTTATTTATTTAAAGATTTTATTTATTTGACAGAGATCACAAGTAGGCAGAGAGGCAGGCAGAGAGAGAGAGGAAGGGAAGCAGGCTCTCCGCCGAGCAGAGAGTCCGATGTGGGGCTCAATACCAGGACCCTGAGATCATGACCCGAGCCAAAGCCTTAACCCACTGAGCCACCCAGGCTCCCCTGATTTTTTTTTTTTTTAAAGGTCAATGGTATGGGAGGGTATGGTTTTTAAGAGTCTCCTTTTCATCTCAAAAATGTAGGGGTCTGGACAGTAAGTTCCTGGCCCTCTATCTGTGAAGCCCCGATTCTCTGAGCCCTGCTCCCTGCCACCCTCACTCAGTATCCATCCACACATGTCTTAGTTCTCTCTGCTCTGGGGCCTTTGCAGGTTCTGTTCTTCTGCTTGGCTCGCATTTCCTCCCTCTCTGTGCACAATTCTTGTTATCCTTCAAGCCTCAGCTGAATGGGCACCTCTGGGAAGCGTCTCCTCACCTCCCTGTCTAAACAGCCCCATCCTCCGTTCTGTGCATCATCTCCTTGTTCATTTGTCCCATACAATCTCGATGTTTCATTGTTCTGTCCCACTTGTTTAATTCCTGTCTTGCCCACCAGGATGTAAGCTCCCCGAGGATATGGATTATATGTGTCTTACCATTGTATCCTAGGGCCCATACTGAACAGTTCCCCTCATAAATAACTGTTAAACAAATGAATAAAATTAATAAGGCCTTCCTACCCTAATCTGCTAAGGTGAAGCTACCATGCTGAACGGAGTCAAAGCACTCTGACCTTCTTTTCCGTGGCATGTCTCACAGTCGTACTTAAATAGCAATTTGTGTCTTTTTTCCCCCTAAAGATTATTTATTTATTTATTTGACAGACAGAGATCACAAGTAGGCAGAGAGGCAGGCAGAGAGAGGATGAAGCAGGCTCCCTGCTGAGCAGAGAGCCGGATGTGGGGCTCGTGGGGCTTGATCCCAGGACCCTGGGATCATGACCTGAGCCGAAGGCAGAGGCTTTAACCCACTGAGCCACCCAGGCGCCCCAGCAATTTGTCTTGTCACTGTTCTGTTTCTCCTTCTAGATTCTACTTTCTGGAGAACAGAGGCATGGCTCTTTTGTCATGCCTACAACAGGACGATTCAGTAGGCATGAGTCCTTCTGCCCCTCCCCCTGCTTGTGCTCTGCCTCTCTCTTTATGTCTGATGAATAAATCTTAAAAAAAAAAAAAAAGCTGAGTCTTCTGCAGGGTCACGTGGCTGGGAGCTGGGGCGAAGGAGGCAGAGGGGACCTCGGTGGCCGGCTCTGTGGTGGCATATGGAAAAGGAGAAGGTTGCGCGCCTGGAGCGGGGTGCGGGGAGGGGGCAGGGCACTGGCCGCAGGCTTCCACGTGCCGGGGGATTGGCCGGCCTGGTCCTTATCGCAGCAGAATCTCCCTTGCTTCACTCTTGTTGGCCAGAGAGGCCTCTTGAACGTGAGAGAATCTGGCACATCAAAGACCCAGGCCTTCGGCCAAGGTAGATGGGAGCAGGGCCTCTAGATCAGAGGAAGAGCAGGAGAACGTGTGGCCAGAATTGCTTCCGGTAATGCCCTAACTTGCTTCTGTGCTATCTTTGTGAACAGACCCTCCTGCCGACGGAGCAGCTACAGCTGACGGAGCAGCTACTGCGGACGGAGCAGCTACAGCCGACGGAGCAGCTACCGCCGACGGAGCAGCTACAGCCGACGGAGCAGCTACCGCCGACGGAGCAGCTACCGCCGACGGAGCAGCTACAGCCGACGGAGCAGCTACCGCCGACGGAGCAGCTCCAGCCGACGGAGCAGCTACCGCCGACGGAGCAGCTACCGCCGACGGAGCAGCTACCGCCGACGGAGCAGCTACCGCCGACGGAGCAGCTACCAACGCCGGAGCAGCTACCGCCGACGGAGCCGCTACCGCCGACGGAGCCGTTACCGCCGACGGAGCAGCTACCGCCGACGGAGCAGCTACCGCCGACGGAGCAGCTACCGCCGACGGAGCAGCTACAACCGCAGCTCAGCCCCTTGTAGCACCGGCAGCCGGTATTGAAGGGGGGACTCACGGGAAGGAGACTGGATCACGCACAGCCCCAGCAACCACAGCCCCAGCAAACACTGAGCAAACGAAGACGACCACTGTCACCAGCGGAGGATCCCCAATAGCACCCAGCGGCTCAGGGGCGACGACAGCCACACCCCAAACGGCCGCTGACAAGGACGGGAAGGCCTCCAGCAACCCCAGTGTAGCTAGTGATGGCTCAGAGGATAGCCAAGGTTTCAACAAGACGACAGTCTCCTCAACCACTCACACCGTGAAGCCCGAAGGCACCCGCAGCCCCGCAGCCGGAGCGGGAGCCGGGGAGGCCCATGGTGGTCCCGCCAGCAGCACGACCCCTGGGGGCGGGAAACAGGCTGCTGCTGCGCCTGCAGACCCGCCCAGCACCTCCAGCCCCGCTTCTTCTCTTCCTGCCGGCGCCACCCCAACAAGCCCACACCAAGCAAGTACAAGCCCTGGTCCTTCGAAGCCTCCGGTGAGCCATTCTGACAAAATCCCCACGGCAGCTCCCAGTAGTTCAGGCACGAAGGCGGGCCCCAGCTCCACGTCCCACGGGACACTTCCCACAGCAAGTAAGTCATGCCTTTTTCTTTCTTTTTTTTTTTTTTTTAATTAAGTAGGCTCCACACCCAAACTGGGGCTTGAACCCCTCACCCCGAGAGCAAGAGTCAGGTGCTCCTCTGAGCCAACTAGTCACCCCACGTATTGCTTTTTTTTTTTTTTTCCCCCCCAAGCAAGAACCTTCTGAATGCTTATGTTCTATCCAGTTGCTGAGCTGGAAGACGGAATTCATGCTGAGGGTTAAATTCTGTGAATACAGCACCTTCACTTGGGCCAGGTTCCCCCTTCAGTGACAGGCGCCGGCCAACACTGCTGGGTTCTTCTGATGAGGGGCCAGTGTTCTGGCCTGCCCAGTTGAACACAAACAACCCAGCAGTCTATTCATGGGTAAGACTTGGGTGGTCGCCGTTGGCGGGGCAGTAGTACTCCACAACAGTGTTTCTCAAATTGGCAGTCACCAGCAGGAAATATATTTTATTTAGTTTTACACCATGATCCAGGAATACAAATGAAGAACACATACGTAACAACACGTGTAACTGATAATAACAGTTTTACTGACCAGGGTTGATTCTTCCTGTATGTGATGGGCTCTAATACTTTCTACTCCATCCCATGTCCTTGGTTCCCTTTTAAAAGTGCTGATCTTTTTGTTTTTTTTAAGATTTTTTTTTTTTAAAGATTTTATTTATTTATTTGACAGAGAGATCACAAGCAGGCAGAGAGGCAGGCAGAGAGAGAGGGGGAGGAAGCAGGCTCCCTGCTGAGCAGAGAGCCCGATGCAGGGCTCGATCCCAGGGCTCCGAGATCATGACCTGAGCCGAAGGCAGCGGCTTAACCCACTGAGCCACCCAGGCGCCCTTTTTTTAAGATTTTTTAAAAAATTTATTTATTTGACAGAGACCAGAAGTGGACAGAGAAGCAGGCAGGGAGAGAGAGGGGGAAGCAGGGTCCCTGCAAGCAGAGAGCCCGATGCGGGGCTCGATCTCAGGACCGTGAGATCATGACCTGAGCTGAAGGCAGAGGCTTTAACCCACTGAGCCACCCAGGTGCCCCTAAAAGTGCTGATCTTAACCCAGTAAATAAATTTTAAAACCCACGGGTGGATCATGGGCCTCACGATCATGACCGATGGCAGATCTATGGAATCAGAATTTCTCGGTGTGGACCTGAGTCGGGGTTGTAAAGAACTCCGGAGGTGGCTGGAATGCGTACTGGTGCTCAGTGCACCTGCTTCTCCTGCAGGTGGTCTCATCCTGCAATCAGAGCAGGGGCTCTGAGCTGGATACACCTGGATTCAAGTCCCTGATGGGCCGCTTCTTCACATGTGACCTTGGGCAAATCATCAGGCCCCTTGAGCCCGGTTTCCTGATATAAATGAGGGTTATTTATGGTACCTTCTTCGTCAGGGTGTTGTGAGGATTAACTAAGAAAGTAAGCGTGGGGGTGCTGAGGACACACCCCCAGATGGAGTGCCCGTTGAGTATTAGCTGTTGCTGCTGACGTCACTGGCATCGGGGCTCACACTGGCTTGCGCAGTCTGACCCACCCTGGAATACGGTACAGGAAATGACTCCATCTGTTTGCTTCTTCTAGCTTGTGGGCTAGGTGGGGGGGTAAGGCCAAAGAAGCCCCAGGAACTAAGAACAAGAACAAGGGAGACTGCCCTCTGATTTTTTTTTTAAATTTTTTTTTATTTATTTGATAGAGAGAGATCACCAGTAGGCAGAGAGGCGGGCGGAGAGAGGGGGAAGCAGGCTCCCTGCCGAGCAGAGAGCCGGATGATGGGCTCGATCCCAGGACCCTGGGATCATGACTTGAGCGGAAGGCAGAGGCTTTAACCCACTGAGCCACCCAGGTGCCCCAAGACTGCCCTCTGCTCTTAGAGATACCACTCATCTTTTCTCAGAGCCTTTGCTTTCCTAATTACAGCATCACTGGTTCCCTTACAAGGAGATCTGCAGAAATCCAGCGTGATACCAGCTGTCACTGGGACCTCTTCGGCCATCACTGGGACCTCTTCTTTCACCACTGGGATCCCTTCTTTGGAGACTTCGCATCCTGCAGGCCCTTCATCAGGACCTGTGGCCACATCTCCTGTCGAGGGATCCAGAAGCTCCAGCACCCAGTTGACTTCAGTTGCCCCTCGCGTCCCCAGCGTCCCTCCTTCCTCGGCTCATGTGGATGACAGGGTACTTCCAGCAGGGATGGGACAGATAAGAGAGCCTAGCCTCAGATGGAAGGGGCTCTAAAAAGTGTTTCTACCCGCCCTTCCAGCCCAGAGCCCCTGGCAAGGGCTGTTGGGAACTGTCACCCATTCACCCCCTCTCCCTGGCTTTGCCAGATTCTGGCTTAGACAGCTGGCCAGCCAGCAACACACCTGGCTATGAAACTCTGTGCAGGCACACCGCCCAGCTTCTCAGGAGCTCCTTCCTTTGTGTTGCCCACCCAGCGGGGAGGAAGGGAGGGGTCAGGGATGGGACCCTGCCAGGCTCAGCCTGAAGCTGAATCCCAGTGACTGCTTCTTCTAGATAAAGTGCGAATCTCCTGGAGGGCTAACTGACAAGATGCTCATACTGAACTTGACGAAAATGAGCCTCTGTGTGAGTATCCTGCCACTCTAGGCTCCACCCTGATCTACACCCCCAAACTGTGGTTTAGCAGCAGCGGTAGGGAAGGTAGAAGGGCATGAAGTGTTCCTTCTGAAAACGGACTGAGGAATGTGTTCTCTCCTGCCCCTGCTCTTTCTGGGGGAAGTGGCCCCTTCCAGCTGCCAGACAAAGTGAAGTTCAGGTTGCCCTAAGCCAAGTCCCACAGGGCTGCTGTGGGGCCAGAAGGCCCCAGCCCAGGTCTCCTGGGCTTGCACTGTGTGATGATTCACATGTTCTCCGAGTCTGGAGACCTTCCTAGTTCAGGCTGTGGTTTAGCTAAGTTGATCTCTTTGGCCTTCAGAGGCCCCGGCTGAAAACAAGAGGCTCAGTCAGCCAAACTAACATTCCCTGTTCTGATAATCTGGGGTTGTGTGTCCGCGGGTCCATGTACTCATCTGACAGTCTCTGGAAGAACAGTGCAGACATGATCTCTCTCCAGCCCGTGGAGTCAGAGCTCCTGAGCATCGGGGCAGCCATTGCTCATACTCGGGGTGTGTGTGTGTGTGCTGGGGTGGGAGTGTCTGCTTGTGCACGAGGACATTTGGTTGGGAGGGAGCGCTATGTTGGAGGGGGGTTGCTGTTGCCACGCTCTAGTCTTTGAGGATTATGGGTGGCTCATGGCTGCCCTCTCCTGGTCAGTGACTACTTTTGAAAACACCCCCTAGGAAATAGAACTGAACCATAGGGTTTCTAAAAGATGGAGAACTTGGCTTTACAGCATTTTAATGCCACCTGTATTTTTTTGTGTTTTTTTTGTTTGTTTTACAGTCCTTTTCTCCTGGGTGCCCATTTTGCCAGAATATCCCAAAAGCGTACATTTAGACTGTATTTTTCAAGGGAACAGTGTTGCCCTGGGGCTGGGCTTATTGGACAAGGCAGGAATCACACTGATGCATGCCCAGCCATTCTCACGCTCTCTTTTTGGCTAAAACGTGCCAGGTTGTGAGACTGAGTGGGAGAAGCATTTTTTCTGTGTGCCCCGGAGCCCTGTCAGTGTGAGGCAGAGGAAATAGTAAGCTTAGGAAATCCCAGATAGAAACCCCAGCATGGCTTGGGGTCCTGAGGTGAGCCATGCCAAGTCCTTTTCTTCACCTCAGTACCCTATTCCAAAATCAGGTTAGAGAAACACAGCCTGGGGTATCTCTAGATGACATGGCAGGACCAGGTAAAAGCTGTCTACACTTTGTTTCCTCACCCTCAGCCCTAAAGCCATGTTGGCCACGCTCCGTCTGGTGAGAAGTATAGAAGATTCCCCTCCAAGATGGTCCCGTGTGCATCTTCAAGATACTCCCGTATTCCCTTGTTCAGTGATGGCCTTTCCTGGCTTCATGGCTAGAGTCTTAGTCTAGGGAAGGGCATGCCTGCTGCAACTTTGGGAAAGATAACCCTGGGCTGAGAGCTGGGGCTTCCCCTCCTGAGGTCTTCAAACTGGGCATCAGCACCTGGCAAGTGTCAGGCTGCTGGGCAGTGCCCCCTCAGTCCCTCCTAGGAGACGAGAAGGGCATTAGGTCATGACCCCTGAAGAGCTCTGAGAGAGATTGGGGCACTCAGGTGAGAGGTACTGTTCAGCTACAGACGAGATAAACAGGGTAAGGGGACCAGGGGAAAGAGATTTGCAGGAGTCAGAGAAGGCAGGGACCGGCCCAGAACAGCACATAACCTGTGACTCCTGCCAGGCCAGGGAATCGCCCCACTTGAAGGAAGAGGGAATTAGGTTCACACCAGGCAATAGCATCCTCCTGACCTTGGCTCTGAAGGGCAGCCCCACAAGCCAAGGCTGCTGTCCTGGTCCCTGAGGACTCACTTGTGGTCTCCCCTCAATAGGCGGGGAACAGCAGTTCAGATGACAAACTGGTCACACTTCTGTGCCGAGCAGCAAAAGCCACCTTCAACCCAGCTCAAGACACGTGCCATATACTGCTGGTACCTGTTCAAGACTCCCAGGCAGTGGCGATCAAAGAAATCACGGTGCAGAGTGAGTTGAGGGTGGGGGGTGCTGGGGTCTAAGTGGGGAGGGAATGGGCCGGAGGTTGACCACTCGGGAGCCATGAAGATGGGTCAGGGCTGGTGCTTCCTATGAAGGGTCAGGGCAGGCCCCCTTCCAGGGCCCCCCGAGAGAGACAGCACGCAGGAGACTGAGGTACAGCACGTCCTCCTCTTGGGGCCCAGTCTCCGTCCCCTACACTTCCCTCTGAGCCGGACCGCTAGCAGCGTCTCTCCCCTCCACAGCAAACCTCCTGCCCGGGGACGTGTATGAGTCGCTGAAAGACAAATGGGATGAGCTGAAAGAGGTAAGCGCTTCCCGTGGGTCGGCACTTCCTCTCTCGTGGTGGAGGAGTCCCACCTGCGAGCAGCCGGAGTACGGCGGGGTTAGAGAGGGGACAGCAGGGTGATGGGCTCAGCCCCCAAGAACGCCAAGCAGAAGAGCTCATAACCGGGTAGGAGTGACCCCCATTCTGTATTTTGCCACATAACGTCCTCTTTCCTGGCAGGTGGGAGTCAGTAACATGAAGCTCGGGGACCAAGGGCCCCCCGAAGAGACCGAGGACCGGTTCAGCATGCCTCTCATCATCACCATTGTCTGCATGGCGTCCTTCCTGCTCCTGGTCGCCGCCCTCTACGGCTGCTGCCACCAGCGCCTCTCCCAGAAGAAGGACCAGGTGAGGAAACAGACCAGTTGGCCAGATGACTTCCGCCCGTGACTCCCCTATTAGAGGAAAGGGAGTGGGCCACGGGCCCTTTCAGACAGGCAGAGACCATCCCTTACAGGAAGGAACTGCACAGTCACAGGGCAGACGGAAGAAGCGCGCGGGGGAAGGGAAGGGAAGGTCGTGGCCTTTGGAGTCCAGAAGACCGGGGATAAGCCCTCGCTCTGCCTGCGATTATCTGTGTGACCTTGAGCACCGCCTGTCTGAGCTTTTCCGCGTGTGGGGATAATACTCTCCTTGCAAAGCTGCTCTGAGGATTCCCTGAAAGAAATGGGTAGGGGTAGGGGCATCCCTGGTTGACCAGAAGTTCTTTACCCGCCTTCCCCGAATTCCCGTCACGCCACTTGCACCACATGCAGTCCTCAGCCCGGGCTGTGCACCGCGGGGACGGTTAGGAAAAGTCGCACGCCTGCCTCCTCACACACCGACTGAAACAGAATCTCTGGGTCTGAGTATTTGCTAAAAGCTTCCCAGGTGACGTGACTGTGATCCAGGTTGTAGCTCAGATAAAGCCCAGAGAAAGCACTGCCTCCAGGTGGCTCCTCTCTATGGCAGAGACAGCACAGGACCTGCTGTACCCATCTTACTTACGCTTAAGAGAGGTCCTTAGTCACCCGGCCTGATGAAAGTCATTTTCTTATAGTCCTTCCTGATTGAGGACAGTGGGGTGAGGCAGGTGCCTAGAGAGTTAAGTTTGGGGAGGGGGGAGAAATGGAGGAAAGAGACGGGAGGCTTCTGGAAAACACAAGTCCATTTTTGCTGACTTCATGGATCTGCCAACAGGGTAAAGGTCAAGCGAGCTGGGAATTCTAGGATGCCGGGCCAGCAGCCACGATGGCCTCCAAGAGCATTTATTGCGCACCCTACCCAAACTGGGGTTCCTCGATTGTAGGGGTACTTGTGTAATATTAAGCCCATGAGCCCTCAAAAATTACCCTTTCTTGGGTCGTCTTCCCTATCCTAGCAACGGCTAACAGAGGAGCTGCAGACAGTGGAGAATGGTTACCATGACAATCCCACGCTGGAAGTGATGGAGACCTCATCCGAGATGCAGGAGAAAAAGGTGGTCAACCTTAATGGGGAGCTGGGGGACAGCTGGATCGTCCCTCTGGACAACCTGGCCAAGGATGACCTTGACGAGGAGGAAGACACGCACCTCTAGTCAGGTCCGCAGGCAGCCTCCAACAGGACCACAGGGCTCCAGACTGAACCACCTCAAGTGCCATTTGGACAGGGGAGGAAAATCCTTCCCAGCTGAGGGAAAGGTGGGGGAGGGAAGCAGACTTGGAGGGTCCCTCCTCCCAATCCCCACAGGGCCTTAATTTTCCCTTGTCAAACTGAACCAATCACATTCTGTCTAGATTCCTCTTGTAAAATAACCCACTAGTGCCTGAGCTCAGTGCTGCTGGAAGACGAGAGGGAGTGCACCCACGTGGTCATCTGGTAGAATCCCTTCAGCTCACATCCGAGGGTACAGAGGCCCGATGGAAACACAGATCCCCGATTCGGTGTCGTGCGCTTTCCTGCCACGCCCCACTGCTGCCATCGCTACCGCCTCCCCTCAGAGCTGCTCCCAGTGGGGTGAAGCTCGCAGTCGATGTGACAATGGATGGGACGGATGGGATGGAAGGGACGGCAGGGCCAGATCCTGTCTCCAGGGCATCGGATTCCTTCCAAGTACAGGTCCCCAGCCTCGCCTGCCAGTGTGTCCGTCCCCTTTGTGCTTGCCCCGCCCCCCACGCAGTCTGTAGCCCCCCTCTGTCCTAGGGCCTCTGGGACTCACACCGTCCCTTCGTGGCTTCGAAGCCCTTGCTCCGGATTCTGGCTTCCTTGCATCTGCTTAGGGACCTTGAGACTTAACCCACACAAGACTCCAGTGTGAACGAGGTCTGCTTCAGGGATCCTTTTACAGGTGAAGAGAAAAGGGGAGGCCCTTCACCCCCAGGATGGGTCCTGGCCCATCACCCAGGGCAGGAACTCCTTTGGCCTCCCACTCCCACCGGGGACTGAAATCTGCAGCAGCTATGAAAAAGTGTTTCTGTTGTTCACTGCTCGGTCGGTGGGGTGAGGCCCCAAGTTCAGAGATCCCCCTGATATCCAGCAAGAGAGAGCCATAGCTGTAGGGCAGACTTTCCCAGGGCCCAGTCCACAGAGTGGTGTTTCACCAGACAATCGATCGACGCGGTTAGGAAGGATAGGCTTTACTCTCTGTTCCAGAGGAAACTCAGGGACTTTTCAAGTTGCTGAGAGTTTTGTTGTATTTGTTTTTCATCCAGCCCTCTACTGCCACAAGCCAAAGCTCCAACTGCTGGGAGACCTTTCAGTTAACTAATCTTATTGACTCCTGGTTCTCCTGTGCTGTAGGGCTAGAAAGGCCTAGAAAGTGTGATGCATTTTAAGGTGCTCAGGAGCAGCCTGGGGGTGCCTGTGGGGTTCCCAGTGACCTCTCACTGTTCGGGCATGCAGCTGGGCCTTGCCGTGTCCCCTCCTCTGTGATCCTAGCAGGCTGCCTGCTTCTGCAGTTTCTGGTGGCATCTCAGGGAAACAGTACCGGGAAGGGGTTTTGAGGGAGCTTAGCCATTAGTTCCCAAGCGAAGGCACCTGAGGACTGGACAGAGTGGGGTTCAATCCAATTTTCTGGGAAGCCCAAATCCCAGATTTTGTGGAACATTGACCACGGTCTCTTTTGCTCCTGGGTGCAAATCTCCTGGCATGAACTAGGAGGATGGGCAGAACTGCTATCCCTCCCTGGCTGCCTTGATTCCTTATTCATAGCCTTTGGCCTTTGATATCCTAGGGTTCTGGAGTGTAGAGCCCCCAGGGAGTTTCCCAAGAGCTAGAGAGATGGTGGACTAACAAGGATCCACAAGTCCTTGCCCTGATTCACTAGCGTCTGGAGGTTAGCAGGGTAGAGAACAGTGCTAGCTTGGGAGGGGAAAAAAGGAAATCTTGTTACACTGGGAAGAGCTCTGTTTGCTTCCTGCCTGCCCAGCATTTGATTCTTTTCACCCTGTGGGTGTCTGTGGAAGAGGCCAGACTGGATTACTACTCCTTTGCTACTCCTACTCATTTTACCAGCCAGGCCTTCGGACGGAGGCAGCAAGTACGCCTCCACAAACTGATCGAAGGCTCCAGCCCCACGGCCTCTTGGGCAGAGAGATGACGACTGGCAAGGACTAGCGTAAAATCACACTTGGTCAAGAGGAATGACTGTGGTGGCTCCATCCAAGGAGAACCTTGGGAAGCTTTGGGCTGGTTCAGATGCTCCTTCTGGTGCATCCAGGCTGGGCAGCTCCAGCCTTTGAGGGCAACTTCAGAATCCAGTACCTTGCCTGGCTTGCTCTTGCCACAGACATCTGTGTCAAGGTCCTACAGCCAAGCATCTGTAGAGGTCACCTTCATCCCACAACTGCACTGGGTTCAGTGCTGTCTGGTAAGTCAGATTCTGGGGCTGAGAAGAAAGAAGAGGAACACCAGGAACTCAGCATGACTTCAAACAAGTTGTGCCAAAAAGAGATTATCAACTTGGGATCAGGGGCAGACTGGCTTCCCTAAGCTGCATAAAAGGCCAGAAATCAGGAGTCTGATGACTGGATGGAAACCCAGTGGGAAAGCATGCTGTTCTGTGAATGGGGAGGGCAGCAGCAGTGCTTATGAAGGAGGTACAGAATAGGCTTTGCATCGTAGGACAGAATACGGGTTTAATCTAGTCTAGACGCCAGTCTCTTTTTCCCTTGTTATAAGGAAAGCTAGCAGGAAGTTTATTTAAACCACTTCTTGAGCTTTAACCTTTTTTTGACAATATACTGAAGAAACTTTGGAAAACAAGTCCAAGCTGATACATACATACATAGTTCTTAATAATGTAAATACCACAGCCACATGGTAATCTACCCAGCACTGCTTTAAGCGAATATACACTGTAAAAACATTTGCTATTTGAGGTGGCTTTTTTTTTTTCCTCTGAACAGGAATGTAAATGTAAATGTCTGTTTCACTAGAAACGACAAGTTTTTGTTTGTTTTTCTCCAGCGAAAAGTGAAATATAAGACAAGCTGATGACAAAGTATTTGTCTAAGAGATCAGGCATTTTTATTTTTAAATGCGATCCTCAATCCCCCTCCTCAGCTAAGTCCTAGCCTATTACAGGAAGGCTTGGAGACACTCTAGTCCTAGGGAGAGGCTTTTAGAGACCTAGTCCAATCTTTTGTTCTTCTAGAAAAAGAAACAAGCCCAGAAAGACAGAAGCTTGGCCAAAATCACATGGTTAGCGAGAGAGAGAGGATTAAAACACCGATGCTGTGGGCCTCAGGGTGAATCTGTAAATTAAGAACAGGCACCAGGACTCCACAAAGGGCAGAATTCCCTTTCTGTGTCCTGCTGCAAGGCTAGGGAGAGCCCGAGGACCACAATAGGAACCATACCGGTCTCCACTTGCTCGGAGTTATTTAGGTCTAAGACTTAAATGAATGATACTTTACTGTCAAGAAACAGTTTTGAATGAGCTTTTACATATGGATCTTCTACTAGCAGGACTATGGATCAAAGGAAACAAGCTCCGGGAAGGCAGAGGGGGCAAAAGTAAAGCAGTGACTTCTCTTTTATCACTGTCACAAGCTGATCGGCTCAGGTTTGGTGAAAACCCAGCACTGAGTGGAAGGGAGGGGATGACTATTTGATGTGTGTCTTTTTTGTTATTAGTGAATGTTAGTTAGCCCAGGCGACTGCGGGAGCGTGTGTCTTCGCGGACAGGGGTCTGAAGTACACTGGAATTCACTGGGAAACTTGTTTGTAAAGACTATACTTAATTATTGCCATTTTCTTACAAAACTATATTTTGGAGAACTGTATACTGTCAATTAAAGTGCTTTTGTGTAAGCTGGCTCAAGCCCTGTCGAACTTGACTGACTGGCTCATGTGCTTCACCTGTGTGCGAGGCTCATGGCCGACGCTCTAGCGAGGGCAGTGTCCTCTGCTCTTAGGCTGTGCTGCCCAACTAGAGGGTGCGGAGAGTGAAAGAGGAAGGGAGAAGCTGAAAGGAAGGAAGAGGGGGATCCTGGTGATCTTGGGCTGTTGTAGTGATCCCAGCTGAGTCTTTTCTCACGCGTTTATCAGTGTTCTACCTTCTTCATTTCTTCCACTTCTGCCTCAGATACAATTACGAGTCACCCCCCACCAAAGATCCTGGAGCCCCGGTCAGGTGTGAAAACACTGCTATACGGACAAAACAAATAAAGATGTAAAAAAAAAACCAAGGAGGTTCCGTTCTGGCCCTGTTACTGCTCACAAAAGACTCTGTTTACTTGTCCTAAGAAGCGTCTCCCCGCCCCTTGTCCGGAGATGTGAGTGAAGATGGAGGAAGCGCAGGGAAGCCGGCACTCAAATGGTTCTGCTGCTCTTCCTTTTCCAGGGGCGGTATTAGCTCCGTGTCTCCCTCACTAGGAGGGGAAAACTATCGCTCTCAACTTGCAGAACTGCAGAAGGGAAACCGTCTTGAAGAAGCTGGGCCATGTTCAAGCTGCTCCACATCAGTCTCTTCCACGGGCCCGTGGAAGAAGGGGCCCTTCTCTACCAGCAGGGAAATTAGGTACAGGGAGGAAGGGTTATTTCAGTGGCAGCGTGTATCGCTTCTCTTCGGTCTTACGTTCTTTTCTCAAGACCACATTAAGGCGGGAGTTCCAACAACAAAGTACGTTTCTAGAATGCGACCGCTGTTAAAACAGAATCCCCCCCCCACCCAACCATAGGGTCTTCCTTTCATATGGGAGTTCTAAAAGATAGTCAACACCCTAATGGTGAGCCAGAGTTGGGCCAGGGGTGTTTTGAGGTCAACTTCAAGAGTGTGCCAAGAATACAGAAAAGAGTTCAAGCACCAGGAACTTGGGCAAGCCTCTTGGCCATGCCCGAGGCACGCTGTTCTAAGAAGAGAATGGCTCACAGTTTATCGCTGGCCACCAATGAGACCTGAGGCTCCGCTCTTTTCCTGAGTAGGTCATTGACCCTGTTCCATGCCCCGCCAACCAAGAAGCACTCAGTGGTCCTTTCCAATTTGTTAGGCCTCTGTCACTCACACTTCCAGAATCCTGCAAGCTCAGTCCGCAACCAGGCATTTCTTCTGTAGCCTACGGGAAAAAAGTAAAGAACAGGCCTGGCTATTATAATTAACACAAGTGATAAATACGGAGACGGAATTTTTCAAAGAGCTTGGCATTTTACAGATTTAAAAAAAAAGCACCACCCTAGCAAACAGGATCTGCCGCCAACGTGTGTGTCAGAAGGAGAAAGTGAGGCAGAGGAACTGAGGCTGCCCAGTGCTACACGGAAGTCCCTGGTGGATATGGAAATAAGCCCAGGGTTCCTGCTTCTGCCCTGGGCCACCCATTCTCTGGCCCAAGTTCAGACGGTGGCTGTAACAATGTGTGTGTACATGTCGCCCAGTGTCCTAATCTCCCTGCTTGGGGTTTGCCAACTATTAAAATTTCCTTGCACGGCAGTGGACAGGCTGCCTCAACGTAGAGCTTTCCTCTCTTCCCTGTGATAAGAACGTCTCTGGGAAGGATATAACTGCCTTTGCTTTTCCAAGATGAGGGTCTGGGAGCGGGGAGAGTCCCCTATGAACACGAGAGAAGTTTCAGAGTGAGAATGATAGGATGTTTCCGGCATCACGTTCTAGTATCTCACCTTCCCTATACAACAAAAAGCGAAAATTTCTCTTCCTTTTCTTCTGCCAAGACACTAAACGGCAAAAGAAGATGTGGCATTTGTGGTGCTAAGGGAAAGAAGGAACATTACCAACTCGTATTTACGTCTGAGCCAGGACTCACATAGGCTTCAGGATGGCCATCAGCTTGCCTTTCCACTCATAGTGGTTAACAAAAAAATACTGCCTTCATTAACAGGAAAAATATGTTTTTCAATTTCCACTGACTTCATGGTTGACTTTTCTAAGTATAGCAGTATGGGCACACACAGCCATCTCCCTGTTGGAGCTGGATTATGTCCTTGGGTAAGAAGAGGCTCTGAAGTTAGCACTTCAACCTCTGAAGGTCTCCATACTCACTTGGCGTGTGAGGAGCTGTCATCTCAACTGTTCAACACAAAGCCCTCCTTAGTTATTTGCTGTCTTCCTGCCAGAAGACAAAATGTATCAAGAGAGAAGAGGTAGTGTCCCACATTTTGATCAGTTTGAGTTAATTCTCTGGAGGATTAACCAAGGAAAGGCCAATTTCTTACCTTAGCACTGCACATCATGTTTTCCGGTTTTGAAAACAAAGATGTTACTTATGAGCCATGCTCAAAGCACACTCTAGAAACGAAAGCTACGCAGTAAGAGGATTATTTGATTTATAAATTGAGAAAACATAATCCCCATTTTGAATAAAATCAGTTGACAAACTAACGCACTGCGGAATGCAGGACCACAAAGCTAATAAGCATGTAAACAAGGCCAGGAGATAAAAAGGGTCAAGA